CCCGCAAACAAACCCACATACACACACCCCCAGAGGTCCGGCAACCTTCCTCTGAGCCCCCCCTCAAAAAAAAGGTTCACCCAGCAGCAGCAGCTACCCCCACTATGACAGGCGGGCTGGCTGGCAGGCTGCAGTTCCGGATGGAGGGTGCAAGAGGCGCTGTCTTGAGAGAGAGCTGGCAAGCAAGGCGAGGCTTTTTTGACTCTTGACAGGAGAGGACGCGTGGGGGCTTCAGGGGGGCAGGCAAGGCGGGGGCCACAAACTATCATCCGGTGGGCCACAAATGGGCCCCGGGCCGCATGTTTGAGATCCCTGATCTAGAGCCTTTCCACAAGTTGAACGTTTTCCTTCAAGTCTTGTGATTTCATATCCAAGAACAAAATGCTAGGATAGTTTTCACATTAAGACATTTTATATCTTCCATAGATGTACATCATATTTAATGATTTGTACTTTATGGGCTGGTGTAGCACAACAGCAAAGGCCTTGAAGTTGGGAAATTATATCTGGCCCATACTCCACCAAAAGTTGCTGTGTACCCCTTTCTGCCATTCGCTCAACCTCAGGACCGAACCAGATGATGAGGTAAACATGTCAGATGTTCTGACTCCAGTTTGTGTTTTGTATTTAAAACAGAAGCAGGTGCAGAGGGGGGCATCTTCGTGATCACATCACAGCCCGTGACAAAAGGAGTTTTAACCCTCCCCATTCTTACTGATACTTGGATTAAAACCTCAATCCAACTGTTATTGAGCCAAGAAGGACAGTTAGTATTGTCATCAATGGGAGCTTTCTATTCAGGGTTTACACAATAGTTTTGGAGATGGAGAAGATTTTCACCAGGACTACACAAAGAAAGAAAAGGGTTGAACCCCAATCTCATCTATTTTTGAAACCTATGTAGGGTCAGACCTAATTAGCACCTGGACAAAAGAATACCAGGGATCCCCAAATAGGACAAGAAAAGGATCTACCTGAAGCAGTTGAAAATACTTGGTGTCTTATATTCTCACCCTGTACATTACACTCTCAACAAAAACTATGAGTGATTGTGGCTACTATTACTTTTAAGAAAACAGTTGTTGGTTAGTGATATGTTAAGTGCCACATCTAGTTTGGCCCTTAGTCTTACATCAATGGAAACATCAAATAATTGCTTACCTTACACCGTAAAGCTTATGTTATTATTTTAAGAATGTGAGGGTTACTGAAAGAATATTTATTAAGTGCTATTATAAATGTCAGGGTTATCTTTTGCTGCTGCTGTGGCCAATCTTGTAAGCGGGCAAAAGATATATCCTGGTATTTATAATAGCACTTAATAAATATTTCCTGTACGCAGGGCAGTAAATACAAAAAGAGAATGTACACACACACACACACAGAGGCAAACACACACTGTCTAGAAAAAAAATTATGGATCTAATCCAAATTGGAATACTTAGAAGCCTTCACCTAATAGATTTATCATCCATCATTTGTAAGTCATTCCTTCTTAAAAAGACATACACTCTCAACAACATTTCATTTAAAATTTGCCTTGCACAGCATCTATACATAGTTCTTTTCTCTGCCATCTTGACTCCATGTAGAAAAAGTGATCTCTAAAGCCACTGTTTGAATTGGGCACACACACCCTCTATGTTTCAAAATTCAGTTATGCCACATCACAGAGAAAATTGATTGGGGCAGCTTAAACTTACATTTATGAACACAGCTTTTCAGTGCAATGGATGGTCTCAACTTCAACCACATGTTTACAGAGAGACGGTTAGGTACAATTTACAGCAAATGTATTTTCAAAATTGTTGGAAATTCCCACTATGTGCTAGCATACAGTACACGTTGATACAAAAATTTCTACCAACAGTCCCTATTTAAGTAATTAAAGGGCTCTGAAATAAACACTTCCACAAATATTAGCTGAACAAAGATCACAGACAAGGACACCGGCCCACAGCCTCTGAGTGGAGAATCAATGTCTTACAGTATTTTCCCAGGAGAACTTAAAAAACCTCCATTGTTGCAGCTATGCAAGAAGAGAAAGCTTTGCGGATCACGTTACCAGCCTGATCTGATGGGTTTTTTTAATAGACAATAAATCTGGCTGCAGCCATTGCTAAGTCTTAGTTGCAATCATTAAAGCCAGAGAATTTTTAAAGAAAAAAAAACCTGCACAAGGACTTATAAATATTTATTACCATTCCACAAATCTTTTAAAGTAGACATATAACTAGTTGGCACTTAATTACCAAGCACTGTTTCACTGTTGCTTCATATCATGTTGGATTATACTTAGATAAAAATGATCTGCATTGCCTTACCTGGTACATTCCGACTCCAATGTGTTTGGGCTCAATTTTCACTAGCTCAGCTAATGGGTCCTGTACGCGTCTAGCTATGGAAACTGGGGGGTGGGGTGGAGAGAGAGAGAAAAAGGGTGTTCTGTAAATACCGTTCTAAGAAAGTACAGTAGTTTTAGTTGTGTTTTTCTACCTTTGTGAACTCTCATTCTGTTCTTTGCTGCATGAAGAAAATCCAGTGTTAATGTAAATGAAGTTTCAAAAGAAAAGAGCCATTTACTCCATCTACAAGTGGCAAGTTCTTCAGAAATAACCCCAACATTGCTAGCCATGGAAAGTATACTAATTATACACTGTAGGGAACAAAGCAAGCAACAGATTAAGAAGACCATATGCTACAGTAATCTGATATTAACAGTCTCTGCTAACCTCTCAAGCTAATTTACCTACTGTAGCCGAATTACATAAAGAAATGAATTGTTTGTTTCATTTTTATTTTCATTTATTCATACACAAGGAACTTCTTACCCAGCCTTTCAGGGCCTCTGCCCTACCCATAGTGTTCTGTTGTTGTTGTTTAGTTGTTACGTCATGTCTGACTCTTCATGACCCTATGGACCTGAGCACGCCAGGCCCTCCTGTCTTCCACTGCCTCCCAGAGATGGGTCAAATTCATGTTGGTAGCTTCAATGACACTGTCCAACCATCTTGTCCTCTCATGCCCCCGTCTCCTCTTGTCTTCACATTTTCCCAACATCAGGGTCTTTCCCAGGGAGTCTTCTCTTCTCATGAGATGGCCAAAGTATTGGAGCCTCAGCTTCAGGATCTGTCCCTCCAGTGAGCACTCAGAGCTGATTTCCTTTAAAATGGATAGGTTTGTTCTCCTTGCAGTCCAGAGTCTCTCAAGAGCCTCCTGCAGCACCACAATTCAAAAGCATCAATTCTTTGGCAGTCAGCTTTCTTTATGGACCAGTTCTCACTTCCATACATCACTACAGTAAAAACCATAGTTTTGACTATGCAAACCTTTGTCGGCAAGGTGATGTCTCTGCTTTTTAAGATGCTGTCTAGGTTTCTCATTGCTTTCCTCCCAAGAAGCAGGCGTCTTTTAATTTCATGGCTGCTGTCACTATCTGCAGTGATCATGGAGTCCAAGAAAGTAAAATCTGTCACCGCCTCCATATCTTCCACTTCTATTTACCAGGAGGTGATGGGACCAGTGGCCATGACCTTAGTTGGTTTTTTTTTTATGTTGAACTTAAGATCATTTTTTTTGCACTCCACCATGCTCCATAACTCCATAGTGTGCTGCAACATTTTAAAACCATATCATAAAATGAAATTAAAACACATTAATACAAAATTTAAAATACTTACTTGGGCAGAGACCACAGATAAACTATAGTCTTTAGATTAAAGGGGTGTTGAAAATCTGTGCATTGGGTTATAAAACACACACACCTGCAGTATAAAAATGGAGCTAGAACATGAATGGCTAAATTTCTATGTACTGACTTAGTCAAACAAGAAATTCTAGGTAATAATTTATTTTATTAACATTTTAACTTATAATTGTTAATTGTAGCTGCTCTGTCTCTAGCATGTTGTTATAAATAATATATCTACATATCTAAAGCAAGATAACACTTTGAAGAATTAATCATTAAAACATCTGTTTTTAGTATGCTGGCAAAAGAAACTATTCATCATGCATTTATTTTGTCCTGAATGGATCACGTATTCTGTTCTATTACAGCTTTGGCTACATACATTGCGCAAAAACATATGACTAGGCAACTATCTTTGTGACATTGCATGGAGCCTCTTGTGCACTTCGATTATCATTACTAATTCTTATTTTGTATATTTAATATATATACACATTATAATTGTTCATCATAATAGATACTCATATATAAATACCTTCATACAATTGCTACTAATATTTCAACCTATGTGCTAACTAAGGTAATCAGTTTATCTGTGAAGATTCTCAGCCATCCAGGTGAGGATATCTGGAAGTTGAGTCATGTCAACTGGACTTATTTCCTATTAGGCTGAAACGTTTTGCTACTCATCCAATTCTGGAACCAAACCAAACCAATGCATACTGCTTATATACCACCCCATAGCACTTAAAGCACTCGCTCTGTGGTTTACAATTTAATTAAGTAGGCTACACATTGTCTCCCTGCAAGCTGAGCACTCAGTTTACAGACCTTGGAAGGATAGAAGGCCGAGTGAATCTCAAGCCAGCTACAAGTGATTGAACCCAGATCATTAGCAGAGGTTTGGCTGCAGTACTCCAGTTTAACCATTGCACCACAAGGATATGTACCCATTGATAGTTGTGCTATCCAGTCCACCCCTAGTTAGCTTGCTAATAAGAATATCACAGGACACTTTGTCTTCAGCTTTGCTGAAATCAAAATATACTATGCCTGCAGCATTCCCACCATCTACCAAAGTTAACCAATAAAAAAATAAGATGTGATTAGTCTGGCAGAGTTTGTTCTTGACATATCATTTTCACTTCTGGTTATTACTGCATTGTTTTCAAGGTGCTTGCAGAGTGACTCTTTTACAATCTGCTTCAGAATTTTCCCTGGGATTAACTCCAGGCTGACAGGTCTGTAGTTCCCAGGTTCCTCTCTTTTGAAAATAGGGACAATGTTAAGCCTCATCTAGCACTTCACCCATCCTCCAAGATTTTAAGACAATAATAAGTAGTGGTTCTGAGAGTGCTTCAACCCTTTCAGTCAGTATTCTTGGACACAATTCACTGGGCTTTTGAATTTTGACGCATCAAAGTAAGAAATCATTCCCATTTGTTTATCAATCTCAAACTGTAATCTGATCCCCTCCCTTTGTACTTTACATTTGCCTGGAGAGTCATAGACTGTCTTTTGGAGGAAAATTAAAAGTAAAAATTGAGGCATTCTACCTTTTCTTTGTCATCTGTTAATATTTTTCCAACTCCATTGAGTAGATAGTATTTCTTTTTTCTGTCTTTTGCTACGTATGTACCTAAATCTTGCATTCTTGTTGCTTCTAGCATTTTTTGCTAATGTCAGCTCACTTTCAACTTTATATTCAACAGTATTATTGCAATTATCAACTCCCAACAGTATTTTTTTTGTATATTCTTAATAATTCTGCTGCAATTGTTACATACTGTACTGTACTTAGAATACCCTAAATGAGAAACAGAATAACAGAGTACCCATAAACACATAAATATCCTTGGGGAAAAATGGGAGAGAAGGCTCTTATTACGGTAGGAGGTAGGATCTTTGGTGGAATGATTGGTGGGATATCAGATATGAAAGGTTGGAAACTACCAGTCTAATGATTTGCATAGCAAAAGCAGGACCCTGAACAAAAGGGGACTTGTGCAAAATACCTTATCTAAAGGGACCGATGTGGCAAACCAGAGCTTTGTTGTTCCAGGAAGGTCCAAGCACACACAGGAAGCTTGTCATAATCCTTCATGTCAAATGTCAAGTTTGGGGGAGGGTCAACCTGGAACCTGAAAGGTCTTCCTTGTCAAGCAAATGTTTGGGATTTCAGTTCTGCTAGAACAGCTCATGGGGAACTAAAGATTCTTAAGTTCATATACAGTTAGGAAGGAATTTGGCCAGGAAAAGGGAGAAAAGCAGGTACAAGTAACTCTAGAAAGCATCCTTCCAATTAAACTACATTGATCTGACCTAACCTGACCTATCCTAAAGCCCACTGTCTACAGCTAAGCTCTCCAATATAACTGGCTTTCTTCAGAACCACAGGACACAAACTCATAGGAATTATAGGAGGCATTTATTAGACTACATTACCCACCCAACATGATGAAAAAGCAAATTGTCAGAGCCAGACTGATATTCAGGAACAACCTGCTTAATGACAGATCTAATACAGTGAATGACACAATACCAGTAAGAGTCACCTATAGCACCCAATTGGGATGATTTAGATGTGTGATCAATGATCTGCAGCCCATTCTCAACAATAAGGTTTTTTTTCCTAGGGGGTGGGGCGGCCTGCACTTGCATATAGACAACACCCTAACCTTAAACAAATTGCTAATGCTGAACTGGCAACAACATGGAAAGGGAAAAGGGAACAAGACCCTGTCACAAAACTAGACACCAGCTGCTCTCATCCCATATCTGCACTGACGCACCACCATCAAGGGTCCAAACATGTCAGGTACAACAGTAAGGTTTTGTTTACTTGTTCTTACTCTAACACGATTTACATCACCTTCGCCAACACAGCCCCTGTGGACATTCTGTTTTGCAAGAAAAGAGAATTATAAAGGGAGAACAAGAGGGAGATAGCAGAAATTGGCTATGTAAACAAGTTCCAGGGCATCATGAAGGACCTAAATAGTGATCAAGGATTTTTAGCTCACTACATATATTAACAATCCAGTAAACTCTTGCTGTTTCTCCTGACAGACTTTGACCTGGCCCAGAAACAACTCAGCATTTTTGCAACAGCCAAATATAGCAGGCATAAAGCTTATTACACTGGCTAGAGTCTGTAACACGAAGTAATTAACAGTTTGACCTATTCCAGTGTTAAGGATCCAATGCTTTGTCTGTTATCTATATACTCACCTGGTCATGCCTCTCACCACTGTGGAGGTATATAAAAATATAGAAGACAGAGAATGTGCACACCTCGTGTCTGAAGAAATGGATTTTGATCTATTTAAGCTCACACTGAGATAAATCTGTTAGTCTTTTAAGTGCTACAATGCTTTTCCTTCTCTCTCTCACTTTGACACACACACACGCACACACACACTGAAAGAGAGAGAGAGAGAGAGAGAGAGAGAGATTCATCACGAGCCATTTCACATTCAAAGATCTATATCCCTACCTTCTGCTAAAGATAAAGAGGCATAGTTAACATTAAGTTCATTGCTTGGTCATGCACAAGTTTTCACATCTTTTATTACAAGTTTTAACATACACAAACAATGGCAGCTTCCAAGCCTGGCTTAGAAAGAACTGCACCAGTGACATCTGATCTGCCGGCTTCTATGACAGAGAACCTGTAAATTCAAAGGCTTTCACATATGCCTTTCTTGTCAAAATCA